TACTCCGCTTAACTTTTTGGGTCATGTTTTGTCTTTTGAATCACAAGAGCAAAACAGATGAAGCCAGAAGGGTGGTTGAGTGATAAAAGGTATGCATGATCAAAGACATGGTCTTATTTCAAGCCATAAGTTTGCATGTTTACAAGCTCTACCATTTATTACTTGAGGAAGCTTTCTGGCACTTCTTTTTTCTTGTAGACATGTTGAAAATCATCTGAAACGAGCAGATGAGTGGGCCCTTCTATTTAGACAATCTTTCCTGACTCGGGGACACAACACAAACAACTTCTGTGAAGCTACAATTCGTATCTTCAAGGAGGTTGTTATGGAACGGTATGAAAGAGTTTGGAGTATGTCTGCCTTGCCTCAAACTATACCATCACTAATATCTGAGGAATACTAATACTAATATCTGATGAATTACACCATGAGAAGGAGACACATTACTATCAAAATATATATGCAAGAGGTAATCATATTGTCTAGATTTGGCACAAATTTTTCCAAATATCTCCTCCCATCAGCAAAATTGTGTATCGTCTTAATGGGCCACAGCTTATAGCCTCCCTTTCTTCTGTATCAGAAAGAAGGCTTTCCACTCAGCTGAACTAGCAACTCTCATCATTGACCGCTTTGAAGATGTCTTCAAGAGGAGACTTCTTGAGGTGGCACTTAAAAGAAGAAAGGTGCTTCACAATCCTCCCATGGCCAGCAAAACCATCACTGCCTTCATGATTTCTTCAGCAGCTGATGGTCAATTTAATGTGCAAAGTGAAAGCCAAGAAGGAATCACCTATAAAGTGAACCCTGAACTCAGGGTGTGTTCCTGCATAGCAGGGATTGGTGGGAGGTTTTGTAAGCACTTGGCTGCAGTTGAAAAGTTTTTCCCAGCAAGCATGTCAGTAGAACGGATTGTTACTCCCTTTGAGTGCTACCAACTGGCATTGCTTGCCGTTGGAAGCAGCGAAGCACCGCCATCCTTCTTTGGTCTTGCAGATCCAGTTAGCGTACTACCAATGTCCAGTGCCATTCCTATTGGAAGCAATCTTGACACAATTGAATGTGAGGTCAATTCTGCTAATGTATCTGTCCTAGATGTTGATGTGGATGCAAATTTGGAATGTACCACAGGGAAACTGCAGCAGGTCATTCAGAAATATAGGTCTGATCCTAATGTTATATCTGGCCTTGTGGCAATGAATAAGGCATTAGACAAAGTAAGCAGCTCCAACAGCTTGGCCACAGCCCTGCACCTGTTTGGGAAGGAATCTGGAATCAGTGGAAGAAAGTGCTCCAGGTACATTAAAGTACAGCCAACAGGAATTGCCAGGAGGAAGAAGGGAAACTCACGTGGTGTTGGCGCCCTTACAAAGGGAAGACCACGGAAGAGAAGTCAAGGAGAGACCGTGCTCAGAAAGCATGTGGCCAAGCGACCAAGAAACTTGGGTCTCAATATCAGCCTTAATAGGCCAAATGCTTAAAGCCATGAGGCTGATCACTAGAATATCATGAGCATGCTTCTTAAGCTGTTATCATGATCTGTAAGCTTTATCTTTGTCTTTGTTTCTCCTATATAGGAACAGTCAAAAGAATTATCATGTACATCATATTATGCTGGAACTGCTTGCACGTGAGAAAGACCTATTAGGACTAATATTTGGGGTGATGGACTCCAGTCTCCCTTTTGTAAATTTTCAGAATTTTCTTCAATTATGGTGTTCATATCTTTGTGATTCTATATATGCAAATGAGTCAGTAGAGCCATTTTCGTTGCCATTCACATCTATTACTTTTATGCAGGCCTAAGACCAATCAGTTAGCAAGTGGGCTACCAAATACGTAATACATATGTAAGCATTTAACTGTGAAGCTCCCTTGAAATATTGACAAGTGAAAACATTCATAGGCGTGATGGAATCGATGCGGTCGAACGGAGTTGAGGTGGATGAGGCCAAGGTAAATCGAAGACGCTCTAGCTCTCAGGTAAGGACGACCCATAGGCACAAGGATATGCTGTGATGGAGCCATCCTGCTGAGGGTCCCGTTCCTCCTACTTTGCATTGAGATACCATTGTGGTCCGTCCCTAACTCCTCGAACAGGAGCAGAAACGGGCCCCATTTGTTCAAGTTTCCCGTAGATTCGAAAAAGACGTGATTGGCGAGCATTGAATTTTATATGGGAAGGTCCTGGCCATAGAGGCCATGAGTTGAACTGAGCTATGAAATCCTCTTTTTGTTCGGGCCTAGGCCTTGTTGATCTGCATTGCAATATTTCTTTTTTTTTGGATTGCACTGAGCATTTAAATCCTTTTTTTTTGTTCATGCCTGTGGCCTTCTTGATCTTGGTCATTGCAGTTTTCCTAATATTTAATATTCAATTGCCACAAAAAAATTAATATGAGTTAATTGATTGGATAGTATCTGTAGTGTAGCGTTATAATTTGCCAAATGTTTTGTTGCTTGATGCTTGTTACTTTTGTGATTTTATTTTATTTGAATAATTTCTTCAATGTCACTGTGGTAGATGATGTTGTGATTACATTGAATGATGAAAAAATAAAGTATTGATGCCATTGACCATAGAATATTTCTGAGGAAGGTGAAAACTATTGAGTAACGGGAAATGTACCCCAAAAAGTCTGTAAATGCCCGAAGAACAGGCAACAGATAATTTTCAGTGCTTCTAAAGCGATCCATTAAATACTGAGTGTGAGGCTCCATTGGATTCTTTGTAGTATCAGGAATGGAAAGAAAGGAACTACATGGATGCATTGCATCATTTAGATGTCTTAAGGTCATCAATTGTTGCACATTCATTACATTCCTCATTAGAAAGCATGTTGCTCCTATTTATATCCTACCACGAAGGTGAAATCTATGACATGAGAAATTGGGATCCCCTTAGCGTCTCTGATAACTGAAGACACCCTCACATCACACTTTCAAATATCTTTTGGAGTCTAGAAAAAATTGATTTTTTAAAAATCAAACTGTCAAGGAACTTACATGCACCTTATCCGCTACTAGCTGCTGCCAGATTTAATTCTTGTATGAAAGTCTGCTGTTCAAGAAACCCTTTGTCTCCATAGCAACATCAATATTATTTTCCATTCTTTAATGCAGCCAAATTCGGGAAGATAGATTCCTTCAAGCTGAAATCAAGATGAAAAAAGCTGTACTCTTGAGGGGATTGAGGGGACATTCACATGGAGCAAGGATATGTGATGAGTTGTGACTAAATTTAAGGGAATGGGCTGTCGTCACTACCTGATGCTTTGCATCTATATACCTTGGACACTGATATTGGGGATGGTTAGATTGTTGCAGGTGATGGAAGTGGTGCAGTTGGAGTAGCTATTGCAGATGTATTCTATTGAATCGTTGTTCAAGTTGAAGCGAGACAGTGCACGTCGGATAGACATATGAAACGCAGTGGAGCTCCCGATGTAGCTGCTTAGACCAGTTGATCATGGCGTCCAGAAGAAAGGTATTGATCGTGGTCCCATCTACTGGGAGAAAGGCTCTTTGCGCTGGAGAAAGACTCTTTGCGCTGGAGAAAGAGATTATGTTGGCGAGACGATATGCAAATTTTTTTTTCAACGGATGAAATTGTGATGGGTCTCCAATTGGTAGCAAGAGAAAGATCGCCAGTCTTGGGGATGAGAATGGTTCTGGAGATTTTTAAGGTAGGAGGAAGATCTTTGACCCAAAGGAAGATGTTATATAAGGCTATCAGGTACCGGATGTCGAGGTTCCTGAGATCAGAGATCGTAAGACTGTTCGGACTCAGAGCAGAATAGGGTGTTTCTTAAGTGTATGTTTGATTTCCTTAAGCGTTAGGGGTTAGAAGATGGAACATGGTTCTTGTACTTGACTTATCGTCAGGGGGAGATCTGGAGAAGAGATTAGCGAAGGTTGTTCTAATATCTTCGGTTGAAGGAGTGATGGGTGTGATGGATTTTCCATCCAGGATATACCTGGCTGCTTTGGCCCTGCAAAAAATCCCCAATAGATGGTCAGTGAATTCTCATAGATGTATCAGCTAGGTACTTTCTCATTGCCAAAGTGGATTATTATGGGACCCAAGCAATGTGCCTATCATCTAGGGACTGTAGGGTTTCCAAACCAACTGTTAAATCACATATTGTGAGTTCCCGATCCATAGTAATGATTAAGTCGGGTTTCCGAAGTTCTCCGTTAATGGTTATTCGTGGTTCTACTATGGCATTATAGCCAACTGACGAGAACTTCAGCGACCATTGCCAGAAGGCGGTTGTGCCTGGTTACCCTGAACCAATGGGTTGCAGGGCAACCTTGTATAATATGAGATAGAGATTCTAGCTTTTGGCAATTGGCCCTGCATAAACTATGTCCTTCACGTCTTCCTCGGGTGTTGAATTCCCGGCACATGAGGGAGTTGGTGCGTAAGCGACAGAGGTTAATGAATACCCTGCCGCTAGTGAATCGCGTTCCCTTACCAAACCAAGAATTTTCGGGAGTGTGTTGGACTTGGTCAAGGCCTGCGCTTCCAGCGAGAAGGGTGACCAGGGATCGGGCCGCTCTCCGCTACACCGAGTAAGTAAAGAAACGATGAAAGTAGTGGTATTTCACTGTTGAACCGAAGTTCTCCTACTTATATTACACCACCTCTCATGTCTCTTCACAAAGCCATACTAGAGTCAAGCTCAACAGGGTCTTCTTTCCCCAGCCCGTTCCCTTGGCTGTGGTTTCGCTAGACAGTAGATAGGGACAGTGGGAATCTCGTTAATCCATTTATGCGCGTCACTAATTAGATGACGAGGCATTTGGCTTTTTTTTCCTCTTTAACAAAAGAGATTCTCCACTTGAAAGGGGATCAGGTTCCTTCAGATTCCAGTAAAACCACAAACCTAGGTGGTCTTTCATCCAATTTTGGGTTCTTGTTCCATGTACTTGCGAAGAAGGACCATTAGATAGATAAGGTTTTTTGCATTGTTCTCAAGCACAATAGGGCGATGTCATTTTTCCGTTAGTCCACAGCTCTGGAGGAAGGTGTTGCTTAAGGGTGAAATTCCACCTCTGGAGCTGAGGGCAATGGCTTGGTTGCCATAGTAGTCCACCTTTTGAGTGTGGCGATCATCTAGACTGGTTGGGGTTTCCCAACCCACGGTTAAATCACAGATGGTAACATTTTGGTCTTGAACTAAGATCAGATCTGGTTTACGAAGTTCCCCATTAATGGTGATTCTTGGTTCGTACAGAATACTGAAGCCAAGGGAACTTAGTCTATCGACAACGAGGTCGAGAAAACGATTGTGGCGTGTAATACGCGACCAGTGGGTTGCCGGACATCCTTGGTGTGATAGCGATTCAGTCCTAGAGCACCCGACTTCACAGGTCCGGATACCTTCGAGTGTTCCTCTACTGTTGAGCTCGCGGCATATAAGTAAGTTGGTACGAAGTCTACATAAGTTTATGTAGGTTCGCCCACTTGTGAATTTGGTTCCTTTACTGAACCATGTGTTACCTGGTGATTTTACATTTTCTTCAAGACCGTGGCAGTTTATGGAGAAGTGGAGTTGTAGTTTCCACTTACGTCGTTGCATCCAACTGGAGGATGGAGATCCACAGCGTTTCCGTATCATACGGCTTTGGGTTGAGGATGCGAAGGCTTGTGCTGGAGGGTCATCAAGATCAGCAATTTTAATTAATCTCAACAAAGGTCACTCTTGGGATTAGGTCGTGGAGACACGGTATGGATAGTCCCCCATCCCTAACGCGAGCATATAATACTGCACTGGCAGTTGAAGTTGGAAGCCTTAGAGTGCCTTTAACGAAGCCTCTGATTTTACAATCTAAAGATTTAAGGAGGCCAGATGTGTATCTTCCTAGAGATAGTTGATGCAAGGGCCTGGGTATTGCAAACATCCTCAAGACAAAGATTTTCTGTTGAGGTTTAAGTAGGGTAGAAAATAACCGCTCAAGGAGAATATGGAAGTTGGAGGTGTTAGGGGTCATCTTTCCATGGTGATTGAAGTAAATGCCCATATATTTAAATGATTGTGAGATGTAAATGTTGGGTATGAATTGGTTATTTAAGGAGAAGGTTGGTTCTGTGAGAACTTTGATCTTTCTCGTTTTCTTTTCGGGAACCAAAGATATTGAAGAACATTTCTCCACTTTAGGAGTTAAGTTACGTTTGTTCAAAAAGTTTGCTGAGATATGAAGTTGACGTCGCATGCCGATGGTAGAAGAGGCAAAGAGAATGACGTCTTCAGCAAAGCCAAGGGCGGGGATGATGGTTTCTTCTATTTTGCCGCCAATGGTCTGGTCGAGACTTCGAAAGAGGTCATCCATTATAAGATTGAAGAGGATGGGTGATAGAGGGTCACCCTGTTTATCCTACCTAATGTTTCCCTGAATAGAGGGGTTAATGTCCCCACAAGTATGTTGTACACCCCTGTAGCGAGACATGATATATTGGGTGGTGTCGTTGAAGCCAAAGCGTTGTAGACAACGGCGGATGGAAAAATGAGATACTGAATCAAAGGCTTTGGCGATGTCTAATGATACACAGTGTATTTCTCTGTGGCAGCGTCTAGCCCTATCAATTATAGCATCAAGAAGGAAAGTATTGACTCTTGTTCCATCAACAGGAAGGAAAGCTCGTTGTGTTGGTGATAATTTCTCTTGAATTGAGAGGGATAGGCGTTTGGCCAAGATTTTATGAAGCAGCCGTATTAGGGCCGAAGAAATGGTGATCGGCTTCCAATTGCTGGCTTTGGAGAGGTCACCAGCTTTAGGGATTAGGACAGTCTTCGAGATTTTTGGGGAGACGGAAATGTCTTTGACCCATAGGAATATGTTTAGTAAAGCTGATAAAGAATGTACGTCAAACTCTTTTAGCTTTGCGATTATGAGTCCTTCAGGGCCGGGCCCGGTAGGGGGTGTTCTTAAGAGCCTCAGATTCAGATATTGGGAAGATGATGGAACAGGACGATTGAATGATGTTAATAGGTTCATCGTCTGGGGGGGAGGGTGATGAGAAGAGTTTTCCGAAGGTGTTCTCTATATCTTCTCTTGTAGGGAAGAGTGCCTCGTGCTTAGCGGATCCCCTTGCTTTACTCCCTTCTCTATGAGGGTCTTTCCAGAGGTTCCTGACCCAAGATCCAACCTGGTGCAAATTCTCAGCAATAAGCTGGTTTAACCTTGGGTCGCCAGAGAGGCTTTCCTCCATTTCCCAAAGGATCAGGAGTTCCACATCCGACCAATACCCCCTTGGGAGCCTAGCGGCTTTGGTTGTGCCCGCCTGTCTCTTCTCATTCCGCACAGTTGGGTGCTGATGCCGTTCATGCTGGCCGAGTCCACGTGACGTGGCGAACTGGCGTCTACACACTTCACAACGGTAGAGAAGATCAGGCTCCTTAGGAATCACCTTCGGGTTACACTTGGCGTAGTGGCACGCACAGGAATGGTATCGCGGAAAGTCTTTCCTACCACATCTCATGCAGAAGTACTCGACAGCCGCTACTCCATGACTTGTGAAATGACTCTCCAAGCCGGCCCGTCCCAGCAGCAATGCAGAACATATGCTGCAAGATAAAGGTACTTTGAGCGGGTAGCCCAAGACCACCGTGCCTCCTTCCACTACAGGAATTGAGGGTGTGGGGGGAGCATTTGCCGCCAGGTCCGTCCCCCCTGTAGGACCTGGGGCTCCAATATTCAAGCATGAGTCATCATCAGATCCAAACCAATCCGAGGCTAGGCCTGTGTTCATCATTATGAAATTGTTCCGTTTGGGTGGGCCCGTATACGATCCCACCGTGACCATCACTTTTCCGGTGACCTGTCGGGGCAGGCTCCTTCACGCCACCGTATCCCCTCTCCCTCGGCACAGAGGCTGGGAGACCCCAGTCCCACATGCCTTAGGCTGTGAGTGGCCATCTCCCCCAGTCCACTGGGGATTGAGGGGCTTGTCGCTCAGCACCGTTCGTTTTCCACCCTGGAGCATCACCTCATTGGGCCTCCAGGAGGAACTGACAACTCTCACCATTAGTGGGTGGCACTGAACTTGGGTTTTTGGGCCAGGCTGGTCCTCTTTAAACCCACGTAGGTCAATACATTGAGTGGAGGTATCCTTCTCTGCTTTTGCTTCACGAGGCCCATCGAGCAAGGGACCACGTAGATCCCATTACCCCTCAAGAGAGTCAAGAGTCAAGAGAGTCATAGTTACTCCCGTCGTTTACCCGCGCTCAAATGAATTCCTTCATTTAGACCTCCAGAGCACTGGGCAGAAAACACGCTGCGCTTCCAGCGAGAAGGGTGACCAGGGATCGGGCCGCTCTCCGCTACACCGAGTAAGTAAAGACACGATGAAAGTAGTGGTATTTCACTGTTGAACTGAAGTTCTCCTACTTATGCTTCACCTCTCATGTCTCTTCACAAAGCCAGACTAGAGTCAAGCTCAAGAGGGTCTTCTTTCCCCGCTGATTTTTCCAAGCCCATTCCCTTGGCTGTGGTTTCGCTAGACAGTGGGAATTTCGTTAATCCATTCATGCGCGTCACTAATTAGATGACGAGGCATTTGGCTTTTTTTTTTATTCTCCTATTTCTGGGGATCAAGTTCTCTATAGATGGAAAAGGTACATCACTCTCTAAGGAGCTTTTAGATTCTCCATTTGTCCCATTCTATTGTTTGATGCGAAGAATCCCCAGTAGATGTTAAGAGATTTCTCCATGCAGCGAAGACATAGTAGGGCTAGGGCCTTTCGGTCCCATCCAGTATCTTTGACGAATGTGTAGCAGAGAGAGGAGATTCCACCACGGCTGCTTAGAGCAATTGCTTGAAAGTGTTGGGAATATGCAGGCCTGTGGTCTGTAAGGTATTGTTTTATACCTTGAATACCTTAATAGTCTACTTTAGCTGTGTGTCTCTCATTGAGTGTGGTTGGTGATTCCCAGCCGACAGTGAGGTCACAAACTGTGACCGAGTTGTTTTTAATGAGAAGTAGGTCTGGTTTGCGGAGCTCACCATGTATCATAACACGTGGCTCGGTGATGACCTGGTAGCCTAGAGATGTGAATTCATCGCTCACCATCGAGAGTAGTCTATTGTGACGGGTTACCCTGAACCAGAGTGTTGAAGAGAGACATCCTTGTGGGATGTGTGAGAGGGATTCCACCTTCAGGCAGTTAGCTCTGCATAGGCGTAGCTCCTCTCTTTTTCCTCTAGTGTAAAGTTCGCGACACATGAGGGAGTTGGTTCTTAGGCGACAAAGGTTGATGAAATTTCTCCCGGAAGTGAAGCGGGTTCTTGATTGGAACCATTTGTTACCAGAACAAGTTTCAATTAAGATTTGTATTTTCAATTCGTCATATGGTACCATGTTTGACTCACATTTGTCTGACTTGGGCTTTTCTCCTGCCTTCCTGCCAAAAACATGGAGATGGCATCCGTGAGAATTGGCATTGACCATAGCATGTCTTTTGTATAAATTTCTGCTTAGAGAGGAGGGGAAATCTACTACATACTTCCCTCGATTGTAATTCGAGAGTGGTAGTGTCAATATGCTAGAGGGAGGTTTTCTTGAACGTTTTCCAGATGACTCATATTCAACCTGTTCTATTAATAGGATGAGCATCCAGTAGACCAAAGAGAACCTCATTCTATTGGCATTTATTCCCTTTGGTCCAGAGCAGGGCGGAATCTACTACATACTCCCCTCGATTGTAATTCGAGAGTGGTAGTGTCAATATGCTAGGGGGAGGTTTTCTTGAACGTTTTCCAGATGACTCATATTCAACCTGTTCTATTAATAGGATGAGCATCCAGTAGACCAAAGAGAACCTCATTCTATTGGCATTTATTCCCTTTGGTCCAGAGCAGGGCTATGCACATGCTCCAGACCGAAGGGAATAGGTGCCAAATGGCAGCTTTTCCCTTTGGTCCATCTTCGAATGTGGTGGTTCTTTCGTGCAACAAAGAGTCTAGACAACAAAAAAGAGGCTCTCTGCAAGCAGAAGGCTATTCCAGAATGATACCCAAGGAACGACTGTGAAACGAACTTCATGCAAACTCAGGTACATTCTTTCATGAGTATTAAATACATATACTTTATTGTCATGGACATCATGTGAAAAAAAACACTTGAATACTTCCAAGCAACAAATGGTAAAACATTTTCATTGAAACATTTTTCTTGAAAGTGAGGAGCACCTAACTTTATTTAAAATCATCAAGTACTAAATTCACATAATTTTTTAGAAACCATTTAATTTTGAAAATTCATACACTCTCCATTCAAGCTGAATGCAAGGCCCACTTGTATTATACAATAAAAATATATATGGAATGAATGAGAAAAACTTTTGACGCTTTACAATTTTACATGAATTTTCTTTGTCCTTTGGGCAAATTTGGAAAATAACTGCCATAAGTCACCTAAATACGCAATATAAGGGCCAAATTCAGTGTAAACATATGAGTATGGCTAATTGAAATATTCAAACCTTAATTGAAACTTGTTTGAATACCTTTTGCTTGCCTTTGCTGACACAATGCTCCATTAACACGATCGGGTGCCCAGTATTAAAGCTAAATATCTTTCTCATCTTTTTGTTCTCCTGACGTCTGTTTGGCCACACAGGCATGCGCTCCAGCATAACCTTTGGTTCCACATGGATGAAATTTCAAGGGAGCTGTCCATCATTGACAAATGCGGTGAAATGTTGCCTGTCTCCGTCAAGCTCTTACTTCTTCTCATAAGAAAAGTGAAAAATGGTACTTTGCAATTGGAAGTACCTCGGATCGAGAACGACTAATACGTGATGTCCATGAAGTGTCTACCTATTGCCGAACTTTTTCTTTATTTTACACGCCCGAAGTAGCATTTCAAATATTTTTCTAAAACGACAACTTATCGATCTCGGAATAGTGTCAGACCTTTCCTCCTTCCACTTTGCTATGGCCGAGAAATAATTTTCCTTATCAGTTGTTTCATGATTCATTGGAATAGAAAACATATTAAGACAACAATTCCAGGGAAATGTTTGCCGTTCGACCTTATTGCAACTACTTCTTACCGCCATCACAGTATTGTTGAATGATAGAACGTTTTGGTAACTCAAAAGGAGAAAAATTACGAGTTTACGAGACAAATAGGCTAAATACTGTGACCGCCAATGTTCAAGCAATTTCGAGCCTTGCTAATCGTAACCAGTAAGAGTATTGTCTACGACATCCATGAGAATTCCTTCACTTTTCTGGCACATGACACGAGAGTTTTTCTCCTTCGATTTGGTTCCTTCTGTGGCTTTGCCCTTGTAAACCATGGTTGATTTCAAATCCGTAGTTCTGTTGCAGTTGAACTATGTTCTAAGATTGTCCCTGTTTGGTTACAGTTGCAGTCGACTGGAACTACGACTGGACTTCGAACAGACTGAGATTTTGAAATCATTCTCCAGTCAACGTTTGACTGTAGTTAGACAATGATATGACTACAGTTGCCATTGGCTTCAGTTTCTTTTCTGTTCAACTGCAATCAGTAGTAATCCGACTTCTCGTTGACCCGGTATTAACTTTATTATAAGTTATTGATATAAATGAGTTAAAAAGGTTCGCAGCCAGACACAGATCTATGTCATATCTATTATTCCGTTCGTCATTGGGGATGCGTTTCGCTGCATACGACGGCGCTTTAGGACTTAATTGCATGCGGGGTGCTTCATAGTTACGGTTTGCGAAAGGCAAATGCAAGCAATGTCCTCGTTCCACCGTGACATGGCAAGGAAAATCAAGCAGCACCAGCTTCAATTCGAACAGAGGAAGAAGAAATCAAGAAATCTATATATTATCTTGCTCTTCCCATCGAGACGGTTGCCTCATGGTAGGTCAGACTGGAGTTCTCCAGGCGCCACGAGGAAAGAGCGGCTTCAGACATCCAAATTGGTTGGAACCATAGTCACACTCTTGTCAGACTACAGTCTGACTATGATTGGACGGGTAGTCAACACAGACTCTCACAACTGCAGTCTGACTAGAATTCAAATGGCACATTTGGACTATTCTCGAACGAAAAACTCAACTGGAACTGGAACTGAACTTCAACCGAACTGCCCGTTTGAAATCAATCTATGTTTTAAGTACGCCGATAAAAAAATATATATTGAATCCATAGATCATGAAAGCCATCGTCTCTTAGATAAGTTGCCTTTGCTGACGACTCAGAATGCTCCATCTAACAATTCTGAACCAGTCATTTCGACGGGAGTTTGGTGAATGAATTCACAGTCACATTGGATTGGAGGAACGAAATACGTGATACCACTTCCAGATCTCGTGATGAAAGGTCTACAAAAGTAAGAAAGCGTATTCCTCAGATTCAGAATGAAAGTAGTTGTCCATAAATAGTGACTACATTGACAACCTGTAATACTTTCGCTTATGGAAGAGACACACTTGCATTCATTCATCATAGAAGATTAGGCCACGCAAAGCCACCTCGGTGTTCCGTCTTATCGCAGGAATGCTCCAGAGGGGTACGACTCATGCAAACAAAAGAATGACTCCTCTGTCGCTATCAACAGCCCTTAGAGAACCCACTTCACGAATGAGATTATTGAAGGTTGCCTCCAGACTCTCAATTCTCAGTCCCTGTTCATTGTTATATGTCGAGAAATTGAAGCGTCTCACTTTTTTTCCAGCTCAAGTCCAGGATTTAACCTTTTGACTGCTGGGTTTTTATGGGCCTGTAATACCCCCTGTGCTGGGTTTTCCCCCCAAAAAAGCAAATTTCAGTTGTTCTTGATATTTACTTAAATGTGGAGCCATAATTAGTGACGCATACATATATGATGTCCATTTAACTTTTTAAATACCTGACCTTTAAAATGGTATTTAAAATTTAAAATGCATCGGGACTGACGCCATATGGCGTCAGCAGCAGTCAAAAGGTTAAACTCGAAATCAGAGGGAATCGCGCGTTATAACAAGCAATTTACAGGATCCACGGAGCAGACGCTGCTCGAGAACGACGCTCTCTCTTCATCCCTGTTTTGAGAAAAGAATATTCGAGAGTTTACAATGTGAATTCGCATCCGACTGCTCTTGCTTCGTAATTTTCTTCGGAATCTCATTCCGACGTTGCCTTTCCATTTGTCGTTTCTCCCATGAGGGTCGTGTCTTATTCATTTCAGGGAATTCATCCCATATACAGAACTGGCCAAAATAAAAATCACCACTTCAGTTTGATTATGAAATTATAGCTGTTCCTAATTTAATCAAGAATACCATTTTTTTTAGCTAAGTATTTTTTATTATATTACATACTTACTTAGAGTTCAGTAAGTACTATGAGCTCGGTAAATCGCATGTCAGTAATGGGAAACACACCAGTGTCGAATGTACAGGTGACATATTTCAGTAGAATCTGGGAAGTGAATCTGGGGAGTGAAGAAGGGGAAGGTCAACGGTGAAGGTGAGTCTGTGAAGGTGAAGGTGAAGAAGCTTTTTCCATTGCCGTTGCAAGTCTAAAATCGGTTGACGGTTTTCTTGGTGGTCGGTTTTCTTAAGGTGTGTGCGCGTTCTCGTGACGATGCTTCCATCCTCAGATGCTATAAAGAGAATCATTGAAAACATAGAAGAACGAGAACAGATTCTGAAGGCTTGTCATGAAGGTGTCGGCGGTTCGTTAGAGGCTTGGAGGACACATCGGGATCGACAAGATGGAGCCCAAATTGAAGGAAAGGTTCGTTTTAGATTACCACATGGTTATGTATGCAGGTACTTTTTAGCCTTTGCATACACTATGAACAGCCTCCTCGTCTCGTGTTGTTCTCCATTTACCTTACCGATTCCTGGGTCTTTCCCCAGGTTCTGGTGGCCTCGGTTCCGCGAGGATGTGCGCAAGTACGCTCGAACGTGACATGAAGGGAGGAAAACGGAATAATCCATTGAATGGTCCCTACGTCGTGGAGCGTGTCTTGTCGAACGGGACGCACTAACTGAAGACTGTCGCCGGAGAGTTTCTTAAGCAGAAAGCCCATGGCAGTAATTTGAAGCACTGGTATAAAAGGTGCAAGATCGAATGCATCCCCTACTGAGTGCGAGTAGCAAAATGTGAATATCAGCCTCCAGTTTATTACCATTTGAAAAACTACATCAACTGAGCTGATGTCACAGAAATAAATTATGTGAAAATCCATTCGCACTGAGAGGAGTCATTTGAGCGTGGAGGTAGTAACAGCGTACGTTGATATAACTACCATAGTAGAATGGGCGAACACAAAAACCACTATGATAGTGAAGTCTGCTACGCAAAATCGACTACGGTAGTCACAACTGCGTACGCGAAAAACACTACCGTAGTCGGTTTTGACAGGAGTCAGATTCGCGTAGGACACTGGCTCGATAGGTCGGCGGAAATGAGTGA